TCACATAATCGTCTACACCAACTCACTACATCGTAACAATTGCTAATGCATGATGGAGAGCAAGCTTAGGCTGGAGATAGGACAATATATTTAATATGAATAAAAGATATAAGGTAACATTCGATAGGAACCACGCCTGCAAGGCCCAGCCATGCCATTCCATCGAACGACGCGCGCTTTTCGAACAGGAAGTTTAGTCCTGACGAGATTTGCATTTATCGAAATTTTGCTGTGTTCTTACGCAACAAAAGTACCATTTCAGTTCTAAAGAATCTATCCTGAGCTATGCGTTCGGTAGATTACTTTTTTTAGTTTCACCCAATTTAATAGTTAACTGCGGTTTTGCCTCAGGTTACTATTCCGTTTTTTTTGTTTTTCACATAAAGACTAGTTCAGTTTATCTCACTCGTTTAGTCCATTTTTTTCCGTCTTCAGTGTGCTTTTTAGTGTATTTTCACGGTCTTAGGCTTTGTGGCAAGCCCATTTGGCCACTATATCATTTGTCTATTCATTGTAACTCAGACTCTTAATTCACTATGTTAATTTCGGTGTGTATGATCGAATGCATGTTTGTACATTAACTCTTAAGCTATCCTCCTATTGGTTTCAATGTGCAGATAATCAATAATTTATCCACACCCGATTAACTCTCAAAAATATATATGGATTTTAAACACACACACGGACTCACTCGCTCACTCTGTTTCATCGTGTGCTTGCTCACCGTACGTTTGTGGATTTTTATTGATCATTAACAATAAATTATCTCTATAACTGGTGTTCAGGCTTCTCAATAATCTCGAGTAAATCCGTAATTCTACTAGGAGATTAAGCATATCTTAAATACTCAGTTTACGGGATATTATTTATTGGAGTCAGATATTGAGGACATTAGCCTCAACATATTGGTTAGCCGCCGTTTCAACAGCTTTTGCAAGCATCTATAACAAAGTTTGCTTCAACATCGTCATGAAAAACTCATGCAGACGTCCGGGATGCCGTTTTGCTGTTACATATGGCATGCAGTGCGACAACTGAAAAGGTTGGTTCAACGAAGCGTGCACAGATCTGACGGCAACTGCTTACAATAGACTCAGCAAGTCGGAACAAAAGTTGGTATGTGTCACGTGCAGCACGGACACTGTGGTCTTGCAGAGTAGCATCATTGTCCTACTGACAGGTCTGCGGAAAAAGTTGTCAGCAATCTTGGATATCGACAGTAAAAAACGGGTAAACAAACAAGAGCGCGCAATGAACACAAGATTAGGGATGTCGACAGGTATACCATCGATGGAGCATCCATTAACACTAATGATGACGTGTTGGAGCTCAGCACCATCATCACATCGACGGTGTAAGATTCCCTAAGTAAACTCGGGTCTCCCAGCTCAGGGTCTCTGAACACTACAGTGGTTCCCAAAAACCCTGTAGGTGGTTCGACCAACGTTAGCAGAGCCCAAAAGAACCAGGTGCCACCGCCTAAGCTGAGTATCCCAAGTGTTGTTGTGCGGAAAACAACTGGTGATTTGGTCGCACAGTATACCCCGAAGAATGTTCGTCCGGTCATCAAAGAGTCCAAACAAGATATTAAACCTGAACCCACCGAGATACCTGGCAAATTAACAACAGTTTGTGAGGATTCTCTCATAATCATGAACCTCATTGACAATCCTGACCTTCCTCTCAGTCTGCAGGACAAAAATGATAGGATGCTCCGGGGTGAATTGAACAAGAAGCTCGAACTTCCAGGAATAGAGCCTTTGACGGTCACCCAGCTCACTCGAGGAAAGAATTCTAAGCATCGAAATCACCCGAGGCCACTTCGTGTAACACTTAAGAATGCTACCGACGTAGAGGATGTCTTACTAGCGAGTCATTTACTGAAATCAGATGGTAACGTAAGAATACTGCCTGACATACCGTATTCTGAGCGCAATCTCATCCGGAACATCCCCAAAGAAACTCGCGATCACTTTTTCCGCGGGAGGAATATAATCGTGCAAGGTATACCGGAAAATACGGACCCTACTCAATCAAACTCTGACATCAGGGAATGGAAATTCATCAAACAGTCCTTGAGGCTCAAACACATACTGACTCAGCATGTGACGAGACTAGCCAAGAAGGGTGTTGATTCTAGACCCCGTCTAATGAAGATAACCTTCCCATCTTCCCATATGGCGGCTGCAACTCTGGAAGTATTTCATGCCAACAGACGTCGACTGCCACCTGGAATCCACATGCACCCGGATAAGCTATACGAAGCTAGGACCAAACACGCAGCCAAGTTGGAGCAGACCATTCCACTTGTTGGCTGTCTCGGCGATAAAAAAAACGTGTAAAGGACAGGGCCTACCACCTCGTCCAACCTCATATAGGTGGGCTACCTGTCCATTCACGTAAGGCTCATACAGACAAACAGGAAGAAGCTCACGCGTTTCAAATTGAAAGCATAAACTGTTTATATATGAACGCCGCGAGTCTACCAAACAAATTGGATGAACTACGTGAACTTAGCAATGCTAATAAGGCCCATCTGATAGGAATATCTGAAACCTGGATATCTTCTCGGTCCTCGGACCATGAGTTAGCATTACCTTTGATGTCTTTGTTCCGCAATGACAGAAAATCAGGAATTGGGGGCGGAGTAGCTGTTTACATACGTTCTTGTTTGGAGGTGCATCAAGTTCATAACCTTGAGTTTAACAATCTTGAGGAATCTATATGGTGCTCTGTAAGATTGTCTAGTACTTCCAGGTGTCTAGTCGGAGTCATTTACAGGAAGCCAACTGCCGACACCGAGTACGATAGTCGTATGCTGGAAGGACCATCCCGCTCTATCCGTCTCGGTTTCACACACATCCTGATTCTAGGGGACTTTAATCTCCCTAGAGTCAACTTCGCGGAACACACGTACACTGGAGGCGACAACTCAACTGAAGCTCGGTTCTTCAACCTCATCGATGACTTGGGATTGTTCGCCTGCTAAGCAACAAAAGGCGCTGTTGGGCGGAATACAAACTAACTGACAACAATGGACCGTACAGGCAATATAAAAATATCAGGAACATATGCACGAAGGCTATAAGGGAAGACAGGCTTCAGTACTAGACAAAGCTTATGGACAAATTTGTCTCTAATCTGAAAAGCTTATTTCGTTATGCAGCCTCTCTTCGTCAAGCCGAAACTGGAATGTCCCAACTGGTAGGTCTTAACGGCTCGACCAACAACGATGGCGACGCCGCTAACCTTCTGGCTGAACATTACTCTCAGACATTTCAACCGACCGACACTAACTATACTGATGACAGTGTCGTTTGCAATTCCACAGAACTTTCTGAAGTGAACCTAATCGCTGACTTCGTGTTCCGGAAACTGCAGCACTTAAGATTAGACACTTCTGCTGGTCCGGATATGGTCCAACCCGCCATACTGAGGAAAGCAGCCTCAATCTTGGCAACGCCGCTTAGCGTGATGTTCTCACACTCGCTAAGTCAAGAAAAACTACCGGAAAATTGGAATTCGGCTCACATCACACCAGTTTTCAAAGGAGGTCGACGCAGCGAACCTTCAAGTTACCGACCGGTGACTCTTCTCTCCATACCCTCAGAAATCATGTAGTCCTTGATATGCGATGGTATAAATGACTATTTACAGTCCTTAAGTTTCTTCCCACCCCAACAGCATGGTTTCAGGAAGGGTTACTCTTGTATTACCAAACTGCTAACTGAGGTGAAGAGATGGACAAGCATCGTTGATCACAAGGGGAAGGTTGATATCATCTACCTAGATTTCTCAAAAGCTTTTGATAAGGTTAACTATTTATGTCTTATCAATAAGCTCAAACGATCATGTATCAGACCACCTCTACTCAATTGGCTTACTTCATACCTGAAAAATCGACATTTTAAGGTTAGGGTTAATTTCACTTTATCTCAGGCTATGGAATGTCCTAGTTTGGTCTCTCAGGGCTCAGTACTAGGACCTCTTTTCTTTCTGATCTACATAAATGATCTTCCTCAACAGGTAACGTCAGACTTATTACTTTTTGCCGACGACGTGGAACTTTGGAGAGAGATACGCAACCAAGACGATATACAGGCACTCCAAGGGGACCTGACTCGACTTCAAAGTTGGGCAGACGATAACGGACTTATCTTTAACACTTCAAAGTGTAAAGTAGTCCATCTGCGACATATCGCAGACTACAGTTATAACTTGAGAAACTCCTCTCTAGTAGTATCCCAAGTCGAAAAAGATTTAGGAGTCCTGGTGCCCTACGATTTAAAGTCTTACGCTAACTATGACAAAAATGCCTTCCGAGCAAACCTTGCACTGGTAACATTGAAGCGCATTTTTGACCAGCTTGACGGAAGAACTTTCCATATAATCTTCAATAATTTTATCCGTCCCCATTTAGAGTACGGAAACATAGTATTTCCCCCCTCATTCCAAAAGGATAAGGACACCCTGGAGCGTATCCAACGGCGAGCCACGAAATCAGTTCGAGGACTCAAATTTAAACCTTACGAAGAGCGCCTCCATTCACTTAACCTTTACCCATTAGGGTGTAGACGTCTTAGAGGTGACCTTCTGATGGTTTATAGTATCCTTAACACTTCTGGGCATCCTCTCAAACACCTACTTAAACTTAGTTCCAATACTAACCTAAGGGGTAACACCCAAAAACTGGAGACACAACATAGCAGAACGGACTGTAGACACAACTTCTACTCCTTAAGAGTTGTCAAATGCTGGAATTCGCTGCCAGGCGAGCTAGTCCAAGCGACTTCCCAAGAGTCATTTAAGAGGCAAGTTGATCTATTCGTAAGGACTAAGGATAGTATCACACTATGATTTACTGATTTCTTTTCCTCTTTTATTGTTAACATACCTAGGTTCCTGCCTGGAGGATTTGGTGACCCCCTGCTACTAGACACGGAAGCCTGTTAAGTGAAAGCTTCTTCTATTCCGTCCACAACCATTTGAACCATATGCGTTAATCATTGAGTATTGCATACTTTTGGCGGAAATTTCGGAGCTTGCGCGTTGTCAGCAGTTTGCTTACTCATGTTTAATCCTTATTCTTCTAATGGAGGGTAGGAGCTCAATTATACTCATTTTGAGTTACTTTAGGACTGTTATGGGAATTGCCGGGAGTGACTTCTCCCTCATAGCTTCTGACACTCGTCTATGCGATGGTGATTTTGTTATTCTCTCTAGGAACTCTCCTCGATTGTTCAAATTGTTAGTAACTCTTTATTATTGACATGTATCAGAGGTCCTGGTAATATCCTAGGGTGCGCTGGATTTCACGGAGATGTTTTAACATTGACGAAATTACTTGAAAATAAAGTGAAAGTCAGTCATATTTTCGTATGAGTAATATTTTACAAATGTAGACGTTTCGTTATGACCATGGAAAGAACATTTCGACAAATGCACTAGCTGGCCTCTTGTCTGTAACTCTTTATAACAGACGGTTCTTCCCATTTTATGTAAGCAATGTACTAGTTGGTCTAGCTGAAGGCCGTGGTGTGCTATACAGTTATGATCCTGTAGGATCATATGAATCTGAGGGGTACCGCGCCTCTGGCAGTTCTTCGGCAATTCTGCAACCATTTCTGGATAGCACGGTAGGTTTGCTCTGTTAGATTTGCTTATTTCTTAAAGGTTGGGAATAAGACCTCGAAATATCACGTGTCACGTTTGGACAAGGAAACGGCTGTTAAACTTACTCATGATATATTTATCAGCGCTGCAGAAAGAGACATACAGTGTGGTGACAGTGTTATCATCTACACAATCACAAAAGATGGGTTGAGTGAAGTCTCTTATCCACTGAGACGCGATTGAAAACTTTCGGGACTTTGTATTTCATACTTTTGGTATCGTTTGTAAGATAATTGTCCTCTGATTCTTTTCACAAAGCAACCATTGTGTTCTGAGTAGTTTAATTCAAATCTTATTTCGGTTACCAAGGTCTAAATTGTGATTCGCCGGAGAGATATAAGCTTGCGCTGCTTGTTGTAGTTTACTAATGTCGAGTTGTGACTCTCTCTCTTTACATTCCTGATTAGTTTTCTTCGGCATCCCAAAGTCTAACTAAACAAAAAAACATCGCTACTATGTATTTGTTATATGCACAACAAACCTGTTTTGCAACATTTGGCACGCTAGTTCCCTAAGTTGACAAATCGTAAAGTGTCAATGTGTGCCACATAACGCCCTGAATAAATACCCAAAAGTGGTCAAAACAAATGCTCGAATTTTAAAGTTCGGCCATTTTGCAATAGCAAAGCGAATCGTGGTTATTTTCGAAATCCATCTAAAAATTAAGGAGTAAGTCCGTCTAAAGAAAGGGTTCAGAATATCGACTGCTAGTTTTTTAACGCGTAATCGTCGTCTATAATTATTTTCATTGCAAACAAAATAACTATTGTGCGTAATCATTTAAGTAGAAAAGTACAAGTTAGAAGTACGTAAAACACTCATAAACCTACTCCCAAGCAGTTTTGAACATCAGCGACCGGGATTCCTATGCCTATCAGTAGCGTTTTCCGTGTAATTTTATTAGGATTAAATACGAATCGTAGTGCGAGGTGAAGTCTAGCAGTTTGATATATTCCTTTAGCCCACTACATCATATGTTTGTATCCCCACTCTACTCTAGAATGCAGTTTATTGACTACAACACATTTAAGTTGCAGCCATACACTCCACATCACTTGCCCCCCAGTCTATCCAACCAGGTAGCATGATCAGCTTTAAGAGCGAGTGTACTAACCTACACTGGCTTATTCAACTCAATCCAGTCATTAACTAAGTAGCTGATCAGTATAACTAGCCTTCATATCAGCCAGTCATGTGCAACGTAGAACCTAGCACATGTGTTCATCAAACCAAGTTGCCACACACCATTAGCACAGAGAGATAAAACTATCAAGACAAATCCCATAGTAGAAGTAATAACAGTATCATTAGTGATAGGGAAATTAGGTATAGAAAACGTGGAAAAGGTATAAGACAGTCTACAAACTTAAGGTTCGACGTAAGACAAAGCGTGAATGAACCTGCGCCATTGCGAGCGATTCTGAGTCATATCATTTGAAGTCCCTAGCCATTGACTGAGTACCACACATAGCGTATCCAGGTAGTCTACACTGACAAACATCCCTCAGTCCAACTGTAAGTCGCCACGTTTTGATTTGACCACGGCGAGCTTACTCTTACAGTAAATATCCCCCGACAAGTTAGTCGGTGGTTGAGTACACCTAATACACCATTTAACTATCTCGGTCGGTAGAGATTCACTACCTCGACTGATTTGCGAACCCTACTTAGTACTCTGTGTCTAAGCACAGCGCTGATGGCCTCAAAGTACTCCGAACTATATCATTTGTGTATTGAAATAAATAAATGAATCCCCTGGTAAGAGGTCAACCACTAAAAAGTCGGATGGCACGAGCGTTATCTCTAGGAGGAAGTAAAATAAAAGTAGACAGGCCTGAGAAACAAATCAGAACTGGTGATTCCGATAAGTCTTCACGTATATATGCCGGCGTCACATCCATTTTTATCTACTGTTGTAAGGTTCAATAGATTAAGCGCATCTAAAAAAAACATGTCTGCATACTTGTACATGTTCGGATCACAATTGATAGACGAACTAAAACGTCATCTCTGAGGTCTTAGGATGTTGAAATACTTCCCAACCGTAACGCTTGTTGAGGATTAGTAGTATTGTTTTTGGAATAACAATTATTCAATTTATTATGCTATTAGTCATTATGTTGAAGGGTCAAGGTCTTTTCGTTTGGTCATCCACGTTTAGATGCAACTAAACCATCTTAGTCAACTACTGGGAGAATATGGATCATTTCTCATTTAGCCTTGAAGATACAATAATGTAAATGAACTAAGTACTTTTATGTAAACCATGATAGTAGAAATACATATCATTTTATACTAAACAGCTCTCCATTTCGTAGGAAGTCGTGTAAGTACTAGTTGAAGTAGCAATATTGGTGAAGGACAAAGTTATGACGGTTGTAGAAAAGCTTGGTGGTTTCCACTGAAAGTGCTTATGGGGTTTCAAGTCTTACTTATTTTTACGCGATAGATGAATGCGTTTACAGCTACATAGCCAAAAGGATTTTCCTCACATACAGCCAGAAACATCATGTATAATCTTAGTTATTTCGTGATTTTTAACTTGACTGGATTAAATAATAAGAATGATCCGTGCGAATGATTCAAATTAATTTGGCTTGAGGATCAGCTGACAAGTAAGTTGGAAGAAGGATTGCAGTCACTTCTATACAATTCGTGAATGTGTATCCGGTTGTCTCCTGAATCACAATGAACTGATAACAGTTTAATTGTTTTGACTACATTAAGTACGGATTTAATTCTTAGCGAACACAAAATATTGTGGTAACAGTATTTCGATGTCTTTTTGAAATTGTCATGATGAAATACGTGACCTGAAACCCCCAGTTTAAACCAAAGAATAGATACAAATAGCTTAAACTATAACACATCTTAATAAACATATATCCGTTAGCTAATATTAATCCTTCATCCCACATTCCATGCATATTATTTGGGTTTACCATATTTTTTAATAAGTGGTCAAGATTACGATGGGTTTCGGGAAACAACCTCGGATGTTAGTAATACTTTTAAGTCATAGTTTATAATCGCTCTTATTATCAGAAGTCGGAGCTGATACTGTACTGATGTAGAAAAAGAGCGGTACGGTTGTTCCCAACAAGTATATTTTTCAATCTATTTGTACATCTTATCTTGTTTACCATATCGAAGTTTGTGATCTAGATCCAAATGCTGTCAATAAAAATGCTAAATGTACTGATATTTCATTACTTCAAACTTTGCTCCTCAAGATCTAATCATAAGTAACCATCATGGAAGCTATATCGCTTCAGTATTGTTACACACGTAATTTAAATAATATGGATTATTTCGAATAATTTACCTAACAAGCTGATTTCAGAACTCATTACAGTATGCATCATTAATGATCATCCAGGTAGTAATTATCAACTTAACAATCATGGACAACTGTGCGTTTTTGTTAACTTCGTGATGGGTTAATAAGAGTGAAAACACAGTACAAAAAACACTAAGACCTTATCTAAATGGGTTATTGTAAACCTCTTACTTGAAGACGTAAAGCCGTAGTGAAACTAAAACTGTTTGGGGTTACTGCTATGTAGGCAAAGGATGAATAAAAAAATATAAGAACGATATGTGTTAGAAAAATTGGATTTAAGGTATCGTTTTCTATCTTCAGCTTTAAGGAAACGTCAAATAAGGTAACTTTTACACAAAAAGTAGTTACGACTCAAAAATGCTAAAGTCAGAAAAAAGGCGTTTAAAGTCAGTCGGGTTGTCTTATCATAAATAGCTCATGAGACAATTGTCTAGTTCCCCTTTGTTTCCCATGGTCGTCTAAGGTCGGTCCGTGATGTAAATTACAAAACTGGGGAGTTTTTGAAAGCCAGACAGCGGTTAGCAACGATACTACCCTCAACTAGTACCACAATATCTGTCGTACACGTCTCTTTGAAACAGTTAAACTAGTAGAACTCATCTTTGGTTACCGCCCCTTGGTGTAGATGACAACGATCAAGTACGACTGTCTTTTCGCACACTAAAATAACTTGCCTATCGTGATGAAGCAACCGAGCCATACTGGCTGGAACAACAGTTCCTCAAGGTCCTACCATGTCAGACAGGTCAGTTGAAGAGCGGTAAGACTAAAAGCAACAAACCCAAGGTCCGAAGGCGAAGTCGTACTGCTGACTGTACAGAGGTGTGACAGCAGTAAGGTGTTTCCTTCAGACAACCAGCATGACAGCGATGCTGCCTTCCCACAAGGAGGGGTGGGGTTAGAAAAGGTCGACCCTAAAAATACACACCTCACGGATTTCCGTCTCCGGCGGTAAGGCCCTTTGAAGAACGGAGCTAACACGCCAAAAACCTCCCACGAAAAGGCCGTGCGCGGCCGGCCTCAAGCAGTTGTCCCTTGGGCACTGCGGTCACGCTCTCAGGTCACTGAGACCACCTCCAATCCAATTTCCTTTAGAGGTACCTCCAGAAGAACCCTTCCTCGGTGTGGGCAACCGGGAAGTGATAACCGCCCTCATACCTCTAACAGCACTCGAGACCACTGTATTCATAATCAACCTCCGTCTTCACTTCCTATTATTCCTCCTACATCGACTTTCAACTCTAAACTTCCTCCTCAAGTGTCACCATAGCCAACGATTCTAGTGCTCAAAACTCTGTCCCAGGTCTACTGAAACCTAGCTCCAAACTACACATTGGAGCCTTCAACGTACGCATCCTATGTCAAATCGGTCAACAGGCTTCCTCAGCTAAAACCCTAGAGTCTCTTTCCATTGATGTGTGCTGTGTCTCCGAAACACGCATACAGGATTCCAGTGTGGTCATTCACTTGACCTCACCTCGGCAAAACGGAGAGCCAACGAGATACACCCTCCGTGTATCTGGTGACCCGATGGCCAGCTCTCGTGGACTGGCAGGAGTAGGCATAGCACTAAGCATGAGGGCGGAACAAGCACTGCTAGAGTGGATCCCCGTCAACAGTCGTCTATGTGCTGTTCGTTTAAACGGCTCCGTAAGAACTCGGAAGCATAGAGCCACACGTCGTTGCCTTTTCGTCGTTTCTGCCTACGCTCCCACCGACTGCAGCTCAGATGAAGTGAAAGATGAATTTTACAGAAAGCTATCTGAACTTTTTCGGAAAGCTAAACGCTCAGACATAGTACTCGCAGGAGGTGACTTTAATGCCCAGATAGGTAGTTTAACCAAAACGAAAGGCGTTTAGATGGATATTTTTGTATCCCGGCACAGCGAACAGATAATGGTGATTGTCTGCTGCAACTGTGCTCAGACAATCGTTTATTTTAAGCAAACACAAATTTTAGGCACAAGGAGAGACATCGTCTAACATGACGACCCCCGACACCAAACCAACGATGGACTCAAATAGACCATATTGCCCATTAGTCATCGTTAAAGAGGGTCTGCAGAAGATTGTCGCTCATTCTGGAGTACCTGTTTGGACTCCGACCATGCTCTAATACCGGCACGCATCTGCTTGCGCCTCACTGGACGCAAAAAGCTACACTAAAAAGACCCATTAGAACTGAATTGAGTAGCGAGAAAACCAAAAGTAGGTTCCAGGAACAACTGAAGTCACACTTAGGTAGTTCTGAAAACGAGGCTGACCCAGATGTTGCTTGGAAATATATACAAGCAGCTGCGGAAATAGCAGTGGTATTTATTAGCGATTTAAACCACAGGGTTATAAAGAACCAATGAATTTCTTCAAAGTCTATCACACTGATGGATTCTCGCAAACTCGTCCCATCAGGTTCCGAACATGATGAAGAGCGACAGCAAATCAGATCTAGGTTAAGAAAAAGTCTAAGAAACGACCGTGAGCAGTGGTGGGCAATGAAAGCAAAAGAGATGGAAAAGGCGGCGACTATAGGGAACACAAGACAGCTTTACAGACTAATAAAAGAAACTGGAATTAATAAGTCAAGTGTAAGTGAGATTATATCAGAAAAAGACGATACTCTCATCTGCTCCCAGTCCAGACGTTTAGAACGATGGGCGGAACATTTCAGAGAACAGTTCAACTGGCCTTCAGCAACTCTACAACTACCCTCCATTCCCAGACAGTGTGAATGGAACATTGAAGTAGGTCCCCCAACTCTTGCTGAAGTTCAAAAGGCTATAGTTAATCTGAAGCGAGGAAGGGCAGATGGACTGGCTCCAGAGGTATTTAAGGGTGGTGGTCCGATTTTAGCGGTTAGGTTGATTAACATTTTAGCTAAAATCTGGGAGTTGGACGTTATCCCATCTAACTGGTCACAATCGCTTATCGTCCCAATATATAAGAGAGGGTCAAAATCATCCTGTGACAACCACAGAGGGATTAGTTTAACTAATATAATATCTACAATACTAGCCTCGATAATTATCAGACGCCTAACTAAGACTTGTGAACTGCAAACACGAGAGAACCAAGCTGGCTTTAGACCTGGTCGTGGCTGCATCGACCACATATTCACCATTCGTCAGATTCTAGAACACAGGCATACTTATCGGCGTCCGACAATGGTGGTCTTTCTTGACTTAAAAGCAGCATTTAACTCTGTAGATCGCGAGATTCTGTGGCAGTGTCTGTCAGTGAAAGGCGTACCACAGAAGTACATAAACCTTGTAAAGGCTCTTTACTCGAACACTACTAGTCGAGTCAGAGCTTATGGCGAACTGTCATTTACTTTTGCAAGCTCAAGTGGTGTCCGTCAATGCTGTCCACTTTCCCCATTTTTGTTTAACTTCATCATAGATCTACTGATGGAAATAACTTTCTCGTCGACTGAGTTCTCGGGTATTGAGCTCCTACCAGGAGGTCCACTTATCGACTTAGAATACGCAGATGACATAGTCCTGTTTGGTGAAGACGCTGACAAAATGCAGAGTCTTCTGGTAGCACTGAGCAACAATGTCAGGATGTTTGGAATGCGCTTCTCTCCCTCTAAACGCAAGTTGTTGCTTCAGGATTGGTCTGCGTCAACACCTGAACTAAGGATAGGGAGTGAAGTAGTGGAACGCGTTGACAACTTCACTTATCTTGGAAGTCTGATCAGCCCTAATGGGTTGGTATCGGACGAAATCTCAGCACGGATTCGAAAAGCTCGATTGGCTTTTGCCAACTTGCGTCACCTTTGGCGAAGGCGAGATATCCGTCTATCAATAAAAGGACGAGTATACTGCGCGGCAGTCCGTTCTGTTTTACTCTACGGCAGCGAAACATGGCCATTAAGAGTAGAAGACACTCGTAAGCTATTAGTATTTGACCACAGATGCCTTAGAAATATTGCTGGCATCTGCTGGGATCACCAGGTAAGTAATAGTGAGGTTAGATGCAGGGTATTAGGGAATGATGGTAAATCAGTTGATGAGGTTGTTAATCTTCATCAACTGAGATGGTTGGGCCACGTGTTACGTATGCCTGAACACCGACTACCACGACGTGCAATGCTATCCGTTATTGGAGATGGTTGGAAGAAAGTTAGGGGCGGCCAAACCAAAACCTGGCATCAGTGCTTGAAGTCACTAACTTCTAGTCTGAGCCATGTTGGTAGATGCAGACTACTTGGTTGGGGTCCGCGTGACTGTCGTAACCAATGGTTGGAGACTCTTGGTGACATGGCTCAGAATCGATCACAATGGCGTCGGTGTATACACTCCCTGTCTTCCCTTAAACTAAGAGATTAAAATCACTTCATATCTTTCTTTCTACAAACCAATTCTTTCTTCTTGTACTATATCTCTATATGCAATCTTTCTCTTATATATTACCACCTTTGACCTAACCACTGCTATGAATCCGGTGTTCATCTTGTTGTGCTGATGCGGTATGGCAACCTGGACCGATGCACATATGTGCCTGGTCCTACGTTGTAGCTGACTGACTGACAAAATAACTTTCTAGTACAGTAACAAATAAATAACCGTTGAAAGGTATCCAGTCAATAAGTGTTTTGCGTGGAATGTAATATCACTGCCGCAGGAAAGTAGTGTAAACTCACATGAAATGTACTTTCGAGTCAATAGGTGAATGACACTTTTGTAGTACTTTACTGGAATCTTAAATACAAGTTTCTCATGCAAACTTACAAATAACAAGGGCTTCTAGGATATTAGTCAACCCTGTAGTGTCATTCATTATTTTAAGCCCATATATCTTATTCTAGCTTTCGGACATTCTATTCTATTCATTCTACTTAAGTCATATTTTGACCTTGTCAATTATTCGCTTATCAGTCTTGACTGTTTCTATATGAGCGTATATGTGTGTGCCCTTCTTATCCCATTAAGCACATGTGTGTAGCTTTATTTCGTCTGACTATAAATATTGAGTAACGCTTGACTAAAATGGAGTTGGCTTCCCAGCCATCTTCCCTGCGTGCCATTTTGCTCTGCTCTGTTTCATTCGCTTCATATACAAAATATATGTATTGTCAAGTCAATTCTCGTTATTCGACTTATTTAATTCCGTTATTGACTAACGTGATTTAAGTCGATGGGAATAGGCGATAACAAACATTCGTACGATCTAAATAGGAGTCAGATCCTCGGGCCATAAAAACCCTATCAGTTCGATTCCAAGTGTTAAATAGACGTAGAACAATAAACAAATATGGAGTCTATTTTATTTCATCGTAAGCCATTAGTATAAATTATGAGTAGGATATTGGTAATACGATAGTTTCAGTAGATTGAAAACCACTGATTTTACATGAACATTGTCTACAAGCATTCATATTATTTATCCAGTAACATGAAATTTATAAGATAATACATATTACAGTTATTACAGAATTAAGTACTACACTTCTGATTAACTTTGTACATTAGACAGCACAATTCATTTTCATCAATGTGTTTTGCCTTTCGTAAATCAAGTATGAAACCGAAAGGTACATGCTTGACACGAATATTTATTCTGGATACATCAGAGGGTGGTGATTTATAGTCAAATGATATATATCTCAAAGGTCTCTTGAATGTTCTACCATTACTTTTAATACCAAAAGCTCCATGGGTATCGATCTGAATAAACTTTTGTAGTGCCGAAGTATTGTTATTCTCAGCGGTTATTAAAATTATGTTGCGAATCATACGACGTGGTAAAAGAAGTCCTCCAAGAAACGAGGAGAAAGCTAGAAATGTTTTTATATATAAAAACAGTGATTTATCTAAAAGCAATTGATATGCATAGTCTTTAAAGTGACATCTGTTTCAATGACCTAAACAATCTTTAATCTACCCATACAATGACCGGTTAAAGTTCGGCTACTGTTACTGACAATTACGAAAAGTAGTTATTCTTAAATTTCCAGAAATGTTTTCATTTTGGTGTGAGAAAATAAAATTGATATGTGACTGAAGTAGATGTTCTAAGAACCTTCTAGCTTACTTTCTCTAGAACTAAGCCATCGAGTGCGGATTTGATCCACTGACAATTATCAGAAATCTCATTAGATTCTTTATGAAGTGAAAGAGGGACTCCTAACCTTTGCATCCTATCAGAGTGGTGTATATATATGAACCTTATAATAGAAAGTCATAAAGCTGCAAGCAACTTATCTATACGTACCATAAAAGCAAAACTGATGTCTACATATAAGACACTGCATCCTAAAAGCTATAGATAGACCTTAGAAATAGATCCTATTATATCTTGGGAGGTAAACATATTAAACAAGTAAGTTTTTAGACACGATGAGTCCTCTGAGCACTCCATCTGGTAAGGCAACTAAAATATTGTACTGCGTTTAACTTGCGAATAACACTGAAATATTCAGCAAGCAATTACCTTTAATGAGTCAGTTTTTAGTGATGATGAGACTCCAAATATCTTAGTCATGTGCCTTGATATCATTGACCTATGAGTTCGATTCAAGTAGATGTAATTACTGATGTTCCCCGCGTGGGTTCGAATCCCATCCCCGTCGCCAATTGTTATAACTGTGAAAAATAATGCTGATTAAGGGGTAGCGGATTATTGATCGGACCAAAGACGCACAAACACGTAGAACGACCTAGGGTTCTGATTGGTCTCGCTTCCCTGTCTAGCCCAGTCAATTGAGTCCAGAACACAAGTCACAGCCTCGGATATATGAATCATTATATTTCAAACATACTTTGTTTATATACCAGTCAAGCAGTCCACAGCGTACCATAAAATAGAAGATAACATTGTACAATAATGGCCAACAGGAAAATAACACGTTAAATAAGTATTGACCAATAAGATGATACCATTTCATGTCCAAGGATAGCATTAGGCTTAACAGGATAATTTTTGGGATATTTCCCTGAATATCCCAACACTCCAAAAGCAACAGTAAATGTAACTGCCGTTAGTTCAATACATATGTAATACAAATCATGTGACCATAACAACCTAACTTGATCGTATGTTACATAAAACTATTGAAACACTTGTTAGCAAAGTTTGTATTCATTATTTCGGTAAGTTTTATGAATTTTTAAAATCCAATATATTTTTAGCAAAGAGTAAAAAAATAAGTATGATTATGTACTAAGTTTTCACCTACCAAGTACAGCTGTTATCCAAGGATAAAGTCGTTTGGTATCCAAATTCAGTCTAAAACTCTCTACCATTTTTTCGTAAGATTTGGAGGCGGTTTCTTTGAAGAGCTGAAAATTGCTACTAGTTGTTTGTATCTGTCGTGGATTACATGTAAAAAAACTCCAAACAATAGTGTTGATTGCACACAATGCGCCGAAACAACGGAGACGTTTTAGTTGATTTACTGCTTCATATATATGAATTCTTTTATATTCCGTGAAGAATTCACCATCGAATTTAAACATGTACTAGAACGAAGGGAAAATGAAAATTTTAACCATAACAAAGGTTGCAGATGATAGCCCATTTATACTGACAAGATTCGCCACTGTTTAAATACCATGGAGAATAATATAGATTATTTTCTTCAGGCAGAAATTAGAAAACATATGGAGGGTCGTAAATTTATATTTTTTATTTATAAGATCCAAACAACAACCACAAACATTGTCTTTATACTGACTGACATTTAATAATGCCTTTTACTGTGAAATGTAATTCTACTCCATTGATAAACAGTCAAGTACTGTTTTTGAACTAAGGTAGTAAGGTAGCCGATTAACATGGATTTATATTATGTATTTTGAAGATTCTCTTTAGCTGTTTACTACTTAGAAAGCAATACAAGATACATATTATACGTAATAAAAAATAAGTCTTGATACACTCGAATAATGGAGAACGACGACTGAGGAAGAACTAGGTTTGTTCAAACAGTTATTCGATGTGCATATACTAGAAGAAAGACTGGAGATAGCATAAAACCAGAAATTCTAGAAATGACATGAAAAGTCAGCTTCATGTCATGTGATGCATAACAGTAAAATGAATCGACTAGATCAGATAAGGACTAAGGAATCATAATTAATATCATAAGATAAAAGTTAAACAAGAAATTTGTAACCAGACCACGGTAAAGCAAATTTGTTAATTGGGCCTTACTGGATTCATAAATCTTTTCATGGAAACTGCTTCGGCAAAACTTAATAAGTCCTAAGTTAATTTATTAATTATTTCGAAAGACTGACAAATCAACATCATGCCGACTGTCAAGCACATAGCTAGCAATCGCACGACTGGAAATGGTATCCTTTGAGTTCAAGTTTCTGTTGACTGTGCTCAGTGATGAATACAACAACCCTCCTTTCTGTTCTTTCAAAGTATGAGGCTTGGCTTGTACATGTTGAGTGATAGACACAAATGGAGGGTCTATTGGGAGTAAATCTGTATGCATATAACCGCCTCAACGAGCGATTCATTTGATACAAACTTCGGCTTGACTGACAGATACATCCCTTTTATTACGGCTTTTAGTCGCAAACGAATCAACTCATCTATTTTGCCCTGCGGTTTGATATATTCCTTTAGCCCACTACATCATATGTTTGTATCCCCACTCTACTCTAGAATGCAGTTTATTGACTACAACACATTTAAGTTGCAGCCATACACTCCACATCACTTGCCCCCCAGTCTATCCAACCAGGTAGCATGATCAGCTTTAAGAGCGAGTGTACTAACCTACACTGGCTTATTCAACTCAATCCAGTCATTAACTAAGTAGCTGATCAGTATAACTAGCCTTCATATCAGCCAGTCATGTGCAACGTAGAACCTAGCACATGTGTTCATCAAACCAAGTTGCCACACACCATTAGCACAGAGAGATAAAACTATCAAGACAAATCCCATAGTAGAAGTAATAACAGTATCATTAGTGATAGGGAAATTAGGTATAGAAAACGTGGAAAAGGTATAAGACAGTCTACAAACTTAAGGTTCGACGTAAGACAAAGCGTGAATGAACCTGCGCCATTGCGAGCGATTCTGAGTCATATTATTTGAAGTCCCTAGCCATTGACTGAGTACCACACATAGCGTATCCAGGTAGTCTACACTGACAAACATCCCTCAGTTCAACTGTAAGTCGTCCAGTCGATTTGCAACTGCCGAATGTTTTTCTAAGTGCAATGATTGCTGATTTATGATGAACGTTGCAGCATATTACATTCTTGTCCCATTTTCTACAGATCCGTAAAAGGGATATACATCTATAAAAGGACCTTTTCATGTGTTATGAATGACAATAGAACTAGGAAGAATTTTCGAAAGCACAGGAAAAATACATTCACGTATGAAAAAATGAATTAAGAGTTCGATTTCTGTTTAACAGTTTATTAAATATAATTGTACAGTTCATTTATCAGAATACAAGTCCTCATAAGTAATTAGATCTCGATTAAGTTCGCTTGATATTCTGTTTGAAGGCTCCTCGTTCGAGTTACAGCAATCTGGTTTTCGAAATGACCGATCTACATTATGGGAAACAGAAAGTTAAATTTAGCACTTCTATAAATTAATTAAAGTTTGATGTGACAAACTGTAAATAAGACCACTTTTTTCAGTTACACACAGTACTTCGATTTACCTACAATAGTTTGATGGTCTGGGTAGCATCACAAACCACCCTCTAAAGTTGTGTTACTCAAAACTGAGTACACAAATTCCTTACCACATGTCTTAAAAAATCAGGAGTACTGATTGTAAATACTTGTTAGTAAAGACGGTGCTTTAATTAATTGACAGATACTTTTGATATAATTATTCTATTCAGTTTTATTTAACACTAATCTAATAATTAAAAACAAAAAGCCTAAATACATAACTAAGTGCCATATGATCTTAAGTGAATGTTTTCCGAACTATAGTAATTTATAGGTTTAAATAAGCCTATTTTTCATCGATAGATGATCAGTTAAGCGGAGAAACAGTAATAAGTTAATGAATGCGAATGAAAATCATATGCCAAGAAGGAACACGACTTACATGGACTATATTTTGTAGGTGAAAAAGGTTTCACGTGGAAAGGTCTCCGAGCAAACGATACACGCAAAAGACGATTGCTTACCATTTGGTGATCTAGCTAAAATTCAAGGGAATAGGTAGTTACTTCCCTTACCTTCAATGCACTTTGGGCCATTTGATTCGTAGCCATTGTAACGTAGGCATGACTAAAATATATCAAAGTCAAAATTATAGCGGAATAAAAAGATATAAACAGAACGTAATACATTTGAATCTACATGCCAAAATAAATAACGTAAGTGTATTATGTGAAATTCCTATATGTACTGTATCATATATAGCATATTTTAATAACACTCGAAAAAAATTTGCATTGTACAAGTCTTGGCCAGAAAATCCATATGAAAAGACAACAACAGTGTTTGCCAGCAGAGATATGAATGAAAGCAGAACAAGATATAGAATAAAAGATAACTATACTGCGTTAACTCCAATGCAATAGCCGAAAGCCTAGCAAGATGTTAAATTAAAACAATGCCCAGAGTCCATTCCTAATGGTGTTCATAAAATCCTCTTTAATTTTGTATAAACCGAATAAATCACACAATCAATGTGACAGCTATAACAATTAAAAGATTTACTAGTACCTACTAATAACTTTGAAATAATGTAAATTTTGTAACCCCAACTTTCGAAGTACTTATTAAAACCCGACAGGGTTACCGTCAACAAACAACACTTAATCATACATGTGAGAGTAAACAAAGGGGAACTACGGTCACATAAAAAAAATAAAAACAAAATAAACTTGACATCACTCACAGATAACATTGTCCATACACAAAACTATACAGAAATATGGGCGACAACCCACTTCCAAGCTTTTACTTTAAATTCTTCGAGTAGGAATTTACTTGGGTGAAGATTTCTTCTCACTGATTAAGCCAAATGCCATACTGATTAGTCCATATGTTGCTAAGTCACTTGGTGGTGGAAGAGGTATATCGAGTGTGACTATTCACTACTTAGCTCCACCCCGACCGTTGCTGCTACCTTGACGTGGCAGTCGAGCTTGCCCATCGTGATGGAGCAACCGAGCCATACTGGCTGGAACAACAGTTCCTCAAGGTCCTACCATGTTAGACAGGTCGGTTGAACAGCAGTAAGACTAAAAGCAACAAACCCAAGGTCCGAAGGCGAAGTCGTACTGCTGACTGTACAGAGGTGCGACGGCAGTAAGGTGTTTCCTTCAGGCAACCAGCATGACAGCGATGCTGCATTCCCACAATGAGGGGTGGGGTTAGAAAAGGTCGACCCTAAAAACGCATATCTCGCCTCATCTCACGGATATCCGTCTCCGGTGGTAAGGTCTCTACAAGTACGGGGCTAACACAAAAATTACTGCGGTCACGCTCTCTGGTAACTAAGACCAGCTCTAATCTGATTTCCTTCTCAGGTACCTTCAGAAGAACCCTTCCACTGTGTGAGCAACTGGGAAGTGATAACTGCCCTCATACCTCTAACAGCACTGGTTGTCACAGGATGATTTTGACCCTCTCTTATATATTGGGACGATAAGCGATTGTGACCAGTTAGATGGGATAACGTCCAACTCCCAGATTTTAGCTAAAATGTTAATCAACCTAACCGCTAAAATCGGACCACCACCCTTAAATACCTCTGGAGCCAGTCCATCTGCCCTTCCTCGCTTCAGATTAACTATAGCCTTTTGAACTTCAGCAAGAGTTGGGGGACCTACTTCAATGTTCCATTCACACTGTCTGGGAATGGAGGGTAGTTGTAGAGTTGCTGAAGGCCAGTTGAACTGTTCTCTGAAATGTTCCGCCCATCGTTCTAAACGTCTGGACTGGGAGCAGATGAGAGTATCGTCTTTTTCTGATATAATCTCACTTACACTTGACTTATTAATTCCAGTTTCTTTTATTAGTCTGTAAAGCTGTCTTGTGTTCCCTATAGTCGCCGCCTTTTCCATCTCTTTTGCTTTCATTGCCCACCACTGCTCACGGTCGTTTCTTAGACTTTTTCTTAACCTAGATCTGATTTGCTGTCGCTCTTCATCATGTTCGGAACCTGATGGGACGAGTTTGCGAGAATCCATCAGTGTGATAGACTTTGAAGAAATTCATTGGTTCTTTATAACCCTGTGGTTTAAATCGCTAATAAATACCACTGCTATTTCCGCAGCTGCTTGTATATATTTCCAAGCAACATCTGGGTCAGCCTCGTTTTCAGAACTACCTAAGTGTGACTTCAGTTGTTCCTGGAACCTACTTTTGGTTTTCTCGCTACTCAATTCAGTTCTAATGGGTCTTTTTAGTGTAGCTTTTTGCGTCCAGTGAGGCGCAAGCAGATGCGTGCCGGTATTAGAGCATGGTCGGAGTCCAAACAGGTACTCCAGAATGAGCGACAATCTTCTGCAGACCCTCTTTAACGATGACTAATGGGCAATATGGTCTATTTGAGTCCATCGTTGGTTTGGTGTCGGGGGTCGTCATGTTAGACGATGTCTCTCCTTGTGCCTAAAATTTGTGTTTGCTTAAAATAAACGATTGTCTGAGCACAGTTGCAGCAGACAATCACCATTATCTGTTCGCTGTGCCGGGATACAAAAATATCCATCTAAACGCCTTTCGTTTTGGTTAAACTACCTATCTGGGCATTAAAGTCACCTCCTACGAGTACTATGTCTGAACGTTTAGCTTTCTGTAAAATTCATCTTTCACGTCAGTCGAGCTGCCATTTTGAATCATATCCCCAAAGCTCAGTTTTCCTTTTTATCATTGATGCAATATTATGTCAGTCTGCGTCGCGGTTCATCTTCACATCGTCATCCTAATACGGTATGGAAACTTGGGACAAAACATACCTGTCTCAAGCCCTGTATTGATGTCTGTCTGTATGGGATGAAAGTTAACTGATCAGAGTCATCATACTTGAAATTCGATTTTTTCCAACTACTACTTACCCTAGCATACTATGATGAAGAGGTTTAGCTTGAAGCAGTTGGACTGAAGTACCAAAAAAGGACATAATCCCACTTTCAAATGTGGTAGTTCGACCACTTCGGTTAGTTCAAGTCATCAGCTTAATGATATAATAAAACATAACTGGCCATAAGCTCGTTTATACTTTTGAAGTAGATGTATTATCTTTCTATTTGGTTTCCCAGACGACTACATCAAACGAACCAAGATTACAAAGATATATGGCGATGAGTTAATTTTCGTAGATAAATTATAACAGGAAAATATAATTCACGCCCCAAAAACCTAACTGGAACTTTTAAACAATTATCAAAACTTTTTAGGATATTAGAGACGTACTTGGAGGGATTACCAATCCTAATCCTTACAACGGTACCATGAGGCTTGAAAACATCATGAATAAAAGATTCAGTGATATTATGATATCCAACATATAAGGTAGAGTGCGCTGGTCGGTTCGGAGAATGTAACTGATCGACACTGCATGAATCTGAAACATCCGTTATCTGTAAATAAGAAAAATGAGATGACTACTTGGTCCGTATCCAAATTTTTGTCATCCAGTAGGAGGTTGAACTGCTGTTTCCTCTTAGTTTGTAAGGTCTCAGAAGCATCCGTACAGTTACCTTCACAAGTAGCCGCTTTATGGTTAGATAAGACGTCTACTTTTTTTTCCTCAGGTCCCAACGCGTTAAGTATTGGACCAGGTAGAAAATTGCGGTAGAGTGACTGTTTTACCTTTAAGTTCATCTAATATTGCACATTAAGTACCAATTTATTATACTTACGTTGGGTCCTGGCACCTCATCTTCTTCACTTTCCTGTATGTAACAAAAATCCATATTATAGAATCACTAACCTTAGGTTTACGTTTAAATGTGTGACGCTCATTTTTGTTCTCAATTGATATTGCTCCTGACTTAAGAAGCTTCATCGCTTCCTCTTTAGCTTTTTCCCTTGGTTTCATAGCTTCATTTCCCTATAACTAGAAAAATAAAACAAACCTTTCGATTTCTCTTCTTTACGTTCACACTTCTTAACTTCATGATCAATATCAGTAAGGGTTTTTCTCTAAATAGGCAGGTAAAACTATGTATGCTGTACCATTTGCTTAAGTGATAATAACTCTTTGCGTAGTAACTTCTCAGGATCGGTGTGTTCATCAGGTAAGTCAATTGCAACTACAGTCAGTTAATTTATCAAAGAACAAGTCGTACATGACGCTAGTAGTTCGTCAACATCAATATTTCTAAAAGCTCGGTACAAAGCACAGTAGCAACTTACTTCCCAGCCTCAAGGTCTGGATCTTCTATTGTCATGATGATTCACTAGTAGTTTGGGATATCACGTGAACACTGTAAAGAAAAGTTTCAGATCAACAATTATATATATATATATTATACTTAAAGTAAGAACGAGGAGAATAAGGTATGATCTGAGAAGGTTTCGGTAGATATTGAAAACAATGTTGTACCTTAAAAAACTTGCTTGTCTACCAATCTAAATTGCAAATAGAAAACCAAGCATTTGAACCGTATTTACCGAGCAAGGAAATAGCAACTATGGTAATAATAAGTTGGTTGTATTAACACCTGACTGACTAGCGATAAGTGACTTAACGTGAATTTCAAAATAATTAGAAAATGGGTGAGACTCGTCGATTGTTAAGAACCCTGAATTATTTGAATTTCTTTACGAGTGTAGTCTTAAAATACCTGCTTTTATACGTTCGGAGACATATGAATCAGTTTACTTCTAGAAAGGATCACACAAGACTATCAAGAATTGATAATTTATAAATTATCAATTTACATATATGTAAATCAAATTAAGTCGAACCAATAATAATTTATAGCATCAAAGTAAAAGAAAGGGACTCAAAAAATGAGAATAAAGTAACTCCAAAACTAAAGGTTGCATAGGAAAACGAAGACATGTAGGGACAAACTTGTGACCTTTATGGCAGTTCATAGTGAGACTAATTCATGGACGACCTTTGAGCGACTCTAGACTGACCTTGATTCAAATAGTTCAAATGGTTGTGGACGGAATAGAAGAAGCTTTCACTTAACAGGCTTCCGTGTCTAGTAGCAGGGGATCACCAAATCCTCCAGGCAGGAACCTAGGTATGTTAACAATAAAAGAGGAAAAGAAATCAGTAAATCATAGTGTGATACTATCCTTAGTCCTTACGAATAGATCAACTTGCCTCTTAAATGACTCTTGGGAAGTCGCTTGGACTAGCTCGCCTGGCAGCGAATTCCAGCATTTGACAACTCTTAAGGAGTAGAAGTTGTGTCTACAGTCCGTTCTGCTATGTTGTGTCTCCAGTTTTTGGGTGTTACCCCTTAGGTTAGTATTGGAACTAAGTTTAAGTAGGTGTTTGAGAGGATGCCCAGAAGTGTTAAGGATACTATAAACCATCAGAAGGTCACCTCTAAGACGTCTACACCCTAATGGGTAAAGGTTAAGTGAATGGAGGCGCTCTTCGTAAGGTTTAAATTTGAGTCCTCGAACTGATTTCGTGGCTCGCCGTTGGATACGCTCCAGGGTGTCCTTATCCTTTTGGAATGAGGGGGGAAATACTATGTTTCCGTACTCTAAATGGGGACGGATAAAATTATTGAAGATTATATGGAAAGTTCTTCCGTCAAGCTGGTCAAAAATGCGCTTCAATGTTACCAGTGCAAGGTTTGCTCGGAAGGCATTTTTGTCATAGTTAGCGTAAGACTTTAAATCGTAGGGCACCAGGACTCCTAAATCTTTTTCGACTTGGGATACTACTAGAGAGGAGTTTCTCAAGTTATAACTGTAGTCTGCGATATGTCGCAGATGGACTACTTTACACTTTGAAGTGTTAAAGATAAGTCCGTTATCGTCTGCCCAACTTTGAAGTCGAGTCAGGTCCCCTTGGAGTGCCTGTATATCGTCTTGGTTGCGTATCTCTCTCCAAAGTTCCACGTCGTCGGCAAAAAGTAATAAGTCTGACGTTACCTGTTGAGGAAGATCATTTATGTAGATCAGAAAGAAAAGAGGTCCTAGTACTGAGCCCTGAGAGACCAAACTAGGACATTCCATAGCCTGAGATAAAGTGAAATTAACCCTAACCTTAAAATGTCGACTCTTCAGGTTATGAGGCTGTGTGAAGGATAGATCATGATTTACAGTTGAAGATTTAGATATTGGATATCACAATTCACGACGACGTTCTGAAATACGTTAGGCGAACTTTAAATGTATTTAAAGTTGTGAAACTGCTTATTCATACTTCTTTCCGCGCGTTATTTAAAAAGGACAGTGATGTTACCTCTGTGATTATATTTCATAGCATTGATCGTTTAATTACTTATCAAGACTACTGTTTCGGTTTTAACTGAAATAAATTCAGTTAAAGCAATCTCCAGGAGTATAGCTTTTTTAGAGAAGTTAATCATCTATACTTTTGAGTACAAAAACAAGAAAAAGCACTGATCTTTTATTTTTCCTCGCTGAGTATATTTTTTGTATTGTTTATATCCATAGATGCTAAGGTTTTTTTGAATTCACTGAAGTCGGATTTCTTAATTGCTAGGTACAGTAATATACAACTTTTCCTTTTTGTGTTCGGTGTCTATCACTGCTCAAATCTTGAAAGAAACTTATTGTAGAGATCAATTTTCGCTATCGTTCTTCCTGTGAGATCACAAAACGATTTTATGGCGTAAGTAAAACATCGTTGTGACAGACCTGCATGCTTTTCCTCGGTCGATGATGGAATGCGATATGACAGCTACAATAAGTGATATCACAATTTGTGCACCGGACTCACCGACCGCATATAAAATGTGCTGCAAGCTATTATCCCGTTGACTGTGCAAAGCATGCATGGACTCAGCTCAGGCAGCTATCCGATCAGGTAACTCAACCATATATACCCTGTATAGTCCCAAAGAAGAAGAATAAGAAGAATCACGGCCATTCGTGGATGGTCCCGGATATTCGACATTTACAAAGACAAAGAAAAAATGTTGGAGCTTTACCATCAGCCTTGGCACCCCAAGTAATATGGAACGCTACAGGTCAGTAAGAAATAAGTGTATAGTTAAAAACCAGTAAACTCAGACAGAATATGAAATGCATTTGGCACAATCTACAATTAAGTAGCCTAAAAGACTATTCTCGTATAAAAATTACAGAACAAGGATGCGGTATTGGATTCCCAACCTAATTAAGGAAGGGGGTGGATCTGAAATGATAGAGGATGATCAAGGAAAAGTAGAGGCCATGGTAAACTATTTCAGGGCAGTTTTCACTCATCAGCCTCATCTAGACGACGAACCAGTGTTAAAAGTCTCACTGAGGCTGTCGCCAGAATGCAAATGGGTCATAGAAACAGGAGTAGGTCACCACAAAGACCAAAACCCAAGTCATAAATGTCCAGACAATCTGGGCAGTTCTGTTGGTATCACTGGAAGTTTGATGTCAAATCAACCAAATACATGCAACCATGCGCCTGGTCTAAGCGAAATTCCAAGAAAGTGGGAAACGAGTAACCCCTCCACAGGTCGCGACAACTGAGGAGGGGTGCCTAAACACTCGCTTGTTTTATGTTAGAGACAGAAACTCTGGCTTGAATTTCTTGGTGGATACTGGCGCTGCTCTTAGCATCATCCCTCAAAATAAAACTGAGATTAGTCGAGAAACATCATCAATTACACTTCAAGCTGCAAATAAAGCTAAAATCGCGACATTTGGGCAGAAAACTTTAACCCTAGATTTGGGGTTCAGGAGGCAGTTCCCTTGGGTTTTCACGGTAGCCGATTTAGATCTGGCAATACTGGGGATGGACTTTCCAGAGAGATACGAATTTCTAGTTGACACTAAGAAACGACGCTTAACACTGAAAGAAACTTCGAATTACGAAAAAGGCGGAGAAAGCTACATCACATCTCTTAACTTTGTTCAAACTACTCCAGCAACAACAGCAAATTCCAGGATGTACTCGCAGACTTTCCAAACTTAACTAGACCAAACCCACAGCCTTCCAAAGACAAACTAAAAGTAAGTCACACTATCAAAACCGTAGGTGCACCTGTGTTTGCAAAACCCAGAAGACCAGCAGCAGATAAGTTCAAAATCACCAGAGCCAAACTTGACTATAAGCTACAGTTGGATATTATCCGCCCCTCTGATAGTCAACGAGCATCCCCTTTGCATATGGTCTCAAAGAAGAATGAAGGCGATTGGCGACCGTGCGGGAATTACAGAGCCATCAGCCGTCTAACAATATCAGATAGGTACCCGATACCACATATCCAAGATTTAAACAACGTTTTACAGGGTATGAACATATTTACTAAAGTTGACATAGGACATATCACAATGTCGCGGTGGCTGATGAAGGTGACCCCAAGACAGCTATTACTAAGCATTTTGGCTTGTTCGAGGTTGTATGCATGCCATTCGGCCTGAGAAATGCGGCACAAACATTTCAAATATTCATGGATAAGCTACTTCAAGATATGTCATTTGCACAGGGGTATATAGACGATTTGTTAATTTCCACCTTTGGTTTACAATCACACGAACAGCATGTACGAGCAGTTTTAAAAAGACCGGATGAACATGGAATAAACATACATCAAAGTAAGTATGTTTTTGATGTTCGGACTCTAGAATTTCTCGGTCACACAATAAGCTCAGAAGGGATTACACCGATCAAAGAAGTGGAAATCATTAAACAATACCCCGTACCTAGTTCTGTAGCACAACTGAAAAGTTTTCTAAGTCTAATTAACTTTTATCGCATATTCATACCCGGTTGTGCACAATTAATGCAACCTTTGACAGATTCACTTAGAGGAAAACTAAAAGAATTTACACTGTCTTCTGACGCCGTCGAAGCTATTAAACAGCCTGAGATAAACTGGCTCAAGCAACCACGTTAATGTATCCTAATTCTCTTTCCCCACTTGCTTTGATGGTGGATGCTTCAGATAAAGCAGTAGGCGGTACCCTTAACCAACTGGTTAAAAACGCCTGGAAACCAACTGCTTTGTTCTCAAAAAGACTCGCTCCGGCAGAGACAAGGTACTCTACCTTCGGGCGAGAACTTCTTACAATCTACCTGACCATTAAACACTTCCGACACATGTTAGAAGGCAGGTAATTGATCGTTTTCACGGGTCAAAAACCACTAACGAATGACTTAAAAACGAGGGCCGATAAATACTCACCTCGAGAAGTCTGAAACCTTGACTTTATATCACTTTATAACAAGAGCAGGATCTAGAATTACAAAACCTACTTAAAACATACAATTCAAGTCCTAATCTAAAACAGTTACCATCACTTATCGATGGTATTCTAATTTACTGTGACACGATCAAGGCAATACCGCGACCTTTCGTTCCCAAAAGTATGCGAAAGTTGATATATAGTAACTTTCATTCTTTCTCTCATCCTGGCCCAAAAGCTTCAACCAAACTAATCAATGCCAGATATATATGGCCGAATTTACAGAAGGATGTACACAAATGGGTTAGAGAGTGTTCAGCATGCCAACAATCAAAGATTAATCGTCACACAAATTCACCCATAGGTGTTTTCTCGCAACCAGATGCACGTTTTACCCATGTGCATATGGACGTGGTAGGTCCTTTACCACGTTCAAACGGTTTTAATTATCTTTTTACATGCATAGATCGATTTACCAGATTCCCTGTAGCCATCCCGATAGCTGATATCACAGCGGAAACAGTAGCCAAGGTTTTCTTGCAGAACTGGGTAACCATTTTTGGTACACCCATAATAACAACGACGGATAGAGGAGCACAATTTGAACCCGATCTATTTAATAACTTGGCTAAACATCTAGGCTCCAATACGACAAGCTGCATTGCATATCATTCTCAGACTAATGGGATGGTAGAACGTTTTCACCGTCAGCTAAAAACCGCCCTTGTATCTCGCTCAAACCCCAATCAAAGGACGAAATTC